TGGCCCTGAGGAAGGGCGTGGTGGCCTTGGGGTGAGCGTTGAAGGCCAGGCGGATGACAGGAGGGGTGAACGGAAAAGAGGAAGGACAGAGAAGAGGTACTTTCTGAAGACAAAAAGGAAGCAGCGTGTAGTTTCTGAGCAGAGCAGAGGTGAGAGAGGAGTGAGTGACAGACAAGCCTTACATGCCCGAGCCTGCTGAGCGGGAAAGTTATGGGGGGATTCAAGGAGAAGGACATTGGGGAGCAGTGCTAACTGAGGTTGGAAGGGGAGATGAGAACTTTGGTTTGGTGACTGTGTGGATTAAAAGCAGTGGTGGGGGATTTGAGTGAAAGTGACCAGCAGGAAGCTGGAGACCTGGGGTTAGAAGCAGCTGAAAAGAGGGTCTAAGGGTAGCACCTCCTCTTCTGGGTGAGGGCCACAGTGCTAAGAACAGATTTTAGAGACAGATGGCATGGATAATGCAGCACAAGAGGTGAAGAGGGTACAGAACCGACTCGTTGCCCTTGGTGCGTGTAAAGGTGGCCAGTGTGTGGTGGGTGCTTCGTGAAGGGCACGCGATCTGACAAGGTGGGTGAGGGCCTGAGACAGAGCAGAGCTGGAGACCAGAGACCCTCCCTGGAGAGGGCGGCAGGACGGGACCACCGTCAGTGTTGTCTGATGGGTTCTGCCAGAGTCCATAGTCTTTAAGTTTTATTAGGTTCTTGGACTTCATGCCCTGAAAATTCGTTTTATCCTTTTATATTTTATTTTCATTATTGTTTCTCCTAGTCATCTGGCAACGTTCTTTTAGAAAAGTCTAACCGTGGGAGGAAAATGGTCAGGTAGATCCTGCATATTTGTAAAGATCAGACACCACAGAGCCAGCAGATGCCAGGAAATTGGGAAGGGCTGGGAGGAAGGCCACCCAGGACCAGGAGAGCCTGACTCCCCTGCTGATGCCTTTTGGTCTCAGAAGGCTTATTCCCCTGAGAGCAGTCATCAAGAATGAGAACTGGATGGCCCAGAATTGAGGAGACAGATGGAGGACTTTGCAGAAGGTGACTAACAATGTCAACATTTTTCAGAGCCTTCCAGAAGAAGGGGCCCTGTGATCTCACAATAAGGAGGCCAAGGATGGTCCTCAAGTGACCACTTAGTGGAAGATAGGGACAAAACCAAAGTCTGGGCAAGGGATGAAAGAGGTAAATTCAATTTCCTATTACCTTATTTTGGAGTCTTTATTCATACCTAAGATTGGTCTTAACTTTTTTTGTACTATTACTGGATTTTGATAGAAGTTAGAATCTCTAGAATGATTTAATACATTTAGTACATTATACACACTATGTGTTACTAATGTATTAACGTGCAATACTGAATAAAATCTTCAAAATATGTATGTACTATTTATTCTCTGCTAGCTGCATATTCAAGTAATGGTACCATAAAAAGACCTAATTTTTGTTTCAACTCCTTGTATGTATGAGGCTTTGTAAAATGGCTATGATAAATAGAGAATTAATTTTAACTTTCCAATGTACAGTATGAAAGTTATTTTAGTTAAGAAAATGAATGTCACTTAAACTGTAAGTCACATTCAAGGAATTCACATTCTCATCAGCAAACCATGAACTTTTGTTAAATGCCCTATTCAAGACAGCTTTGAGCCTGTTAAACCTTGCTGGTTACCCTACTCAGCACTCTAGTAGTTATGGCAGTGAAGCTTCCAAGAATTACTTCACAGGAATATCTGCATTTCCCTTATTAAATGTTCATCTCAACACGAACTAAACAATTGCACCCATGAAATATGGGCCAAATTAGCTGGTGTTTACTTTGAACACACTGACCTTTGGGAAATGAATTCCCTTTTCCTCTCTAAACTTTTACTGTCTGTCTTGCAATATTTCTCATAGCACACGATGGACTGCCAGTGAAGTGACATACATATCATAAGTCACCATCATTTTGATCATTTGGGTCTGGGAGACCAATGCATAATTCATGTTTCAGCTGTATGTATATAACTGTTTTTATTTTTTTATTTTTATTGAATATATTGGGGTGACACTGGATAACAAAATTATACAGCTTTCAGGTGCACGATTCCACAACACGTCATCTGTACACTGTATTGTGTGTTCACCACCCCAAGTCAAATTTCCATCCCGCCTAGACCCTCCTCCACCTCATTCACTCCCTCCCTCCCCCACAATCACCACACTGTTGTTGGTGTGTCCAAGAGTTTTGGGTTTGGGTTTTTTTTTTGTTTTTTTTCTTTTTTGCTCAATGCTTCCACACCCCCACCCAGCTGCCCACACCCACAGCTGTCAGCCTACTTCTATCTATGAGTCTGTCTCTATTTTGCTTGTTAGTTCATTTTGTTCATTACATTCGTATTTGAGTAAAATACATATGGCATATTTGGGTGATATCATGATAAAATAAAAACTGCGAACTCCACTTGTCTCTAAAGCCCAGGTGACAAACATTCATGAGTAGGAGCTCTGCATCCGAGGCAGACTTCTGTCCACTAGAGCGCAGACAGCAAAGCAAGTGCATGCGTGTCCCCGCCACTTGCTGGCAGGACAGCCCCTAAAAGAAAGGGTCACTGTGGTCAGATAAGCCTTTCCCACTCTTCTACTTGAACGCACAGTAACCAGCATTTAGGTCGAAAGGCAGGTCCTGGCACTTACCGCTAAAGGGTTACTTTTTAAATGTTCCTTAAAGGGGCTTAAGAAGCAACATCGTTCCTAACAGAAAAAAGAAGCTGTGCAGAGAGCCGGGTGCTGCTGGACCAGCCGGGGGTGCCCTCCCCAAGGCCCTGTGTTCCCTAAGCCTCCAGGGTTTAAATAGTCACTGGAGCCCTCAGACCTGAAGTTCTGAAGCAAGTCCTGCTCCCCCGGCCACAGGGAAGACACCCCCATGAAATCATCCCCCATCACCAGCCTCCTGCCAACCCCCAGGAAATCTTTAGGCAGCTGACAGCTCGGCTCTGCAGGGACCTCCAGCAGCACAGTAACCTCAATTAGCCTAAGGACCTCAGAAAGTCCTGAACCCCGCTCACCAGCCCTGCTACTGCTACAACTTCCCAAACTCCCAGCAGAATTCCCAGAGGCCGGTTTCCATTCAACTGTCCCCGGCCCGCCCCGTTCTGGGTTCTGCCCGCACCCTGCGCTTACCCGCTACGCTGGCCCTCGGTCCTAGGAACAGCGCTCCTGCCGCTCCAGGTGGAAACTTTCTCTACCTCTGCCGGAGCCTGGAGTGGCCAAGAAGGGCCAGGTAATACCAGGCCCACCACCGGCCACACCCCGAGCCCACCCAGCCCCGCCTTGCACATCCTCACGCCCTCCTCCTCCTGCAACTGCACCCGCATCCCCACCCCCACCTGCACCCGCATCCCCACCAGTACCCGCATCCCTACCCCACCTACACCTGCATTACTCCACCCAGTTCTTGAGATCAGCGCCAGCCCTCTCAGGCACGACAGCGGAGAGGAGGCCTGAGGGCACGAACCAGCGCGCGCACCCGGAGTGGTCTGGCCGCGGGCAGAGGGGCGCTGGCGATACAATCCGGAGACTTTAAATAGCGCAGCCAGCCTGGCTCCCCTCAAGCACACTCACTGGGCCCACAGTCAGAGAGGCCCTTGAGCGTTTAAGAACCTGTTCTGATGTCGCTTGAGACCTGGCCCCGCTGAGGGACAGGCAGGTCCTCGCGGTCACTCATTCCCACTGGTCCTGGTGACCGTGCAGGAGCACAGCCTACCCTGCTGGCCTCAGGGTAGAGGGGTTTTTGTTTTTTAATTGTTTTATTGCTTAAAGTATTACAGAGTATTACATATGTCTCCTTTTTTTCCTGCCCTTGACTTCTGTCTTCTTTCCTGCTCAGAGATGACATCCCGCACTTAGCTGGGAACCTGCGACACAGGCCAAGATCAAGGAGGGACCTGCTGTGTTATAATAATGTTATGGTCATAAGGAAACCCCTCTAATGTGTGGAAATAATTATTGTGTGAAATGATTAATGTGTGAAATATTTGCTATGTAAAGACCCTAATACTCTGTAACTTCCAAAATGTGAATGCCCCACTATTTTGATATAAATGCCCTAAGCCCTTAAAGCATAAACACCCTGCTCCTAGCAAAGGCACACGGTCTGGCCCACACTGATAAGACACAAGTTGTTTACTACTAGCTATATAAGCACAAGATTTTTCTTCAGTGGACGTCTCTTGCCTAATGAGAGGAGGACACCATGTCACTAGTGAGAACAGCCCCTGATTGCTCTGCTGCGTGAGCCTGAACCAGCTGTGGCCACCTGTCTGTCTCCGTCTTCTTCATCCGTCTTTCGGTGTTGCATTGCCGGGTAGCCTTTGCTGGAGCCTAGGACCCACTAGGAACAGGTAAATAAACCTTGTGTGATTGCATACTAATTCTGTCTTGTGTGTTTATGTGTTCCGGTTCGGCTCAGCTGTCTAGACATTGAAGCACCAGGGGATATAGGCCGTTATTGCTGACTCCTGGTCACCTGCGTTTGTCCCACTCAGTCTAAACAGATAATTAATTAAATGGGGCATAATTGGGACCTGCTGTGACTCTGCCAGCTCGACTGGCTCAGCTAAGGCCCCTCTGCATTGCTTCACTCCCCAGTGTCCAGCACGGGCCTGGCCCACAGGGGTCTTTCATAGTTATTAGGGGGCTGAACTCTGTTGGCCATTCTAAAAGCTGAAAATGAGCCCAGAGCTCCCTTTATGAGTGGTGATTGTACTTTTGTAGACTCCGTGTTTGTTTGTTTTTAAATTGAGAAATATCACTGGAGAAGATCTTCAAATATTTTTTATTCCCTCTGAGAAGCATGAGTAGTTTCTATTTATTTTTTGATCACAAGAGAACGAAGGTTCACAATACTTGTAATCTCCTTACAACTATTATTGTTATTCCTGGGGTAATAAATGGAAATAGAATATTGCCATTATTTTAAACTTTTCATTAAAATGATTTGCATTAAAAAGCAAATACAGAAGCATATAAAGTTAAAAGCGGGAGTCCCATTTCTCAGCCCTGCTCGGAAATATGAGCATGAAACCCCAGGGTATTTCCTTCCAGTCTTTTCTATGCCATTGATATAGTTTCTATTGGGGGTCTTCAGGAACACAAAGCTAAATCATGAAAGATGGCAGGTTTTTGCTAGGAAAAGACCGGAGACTAGTGGTTAGTTTGGCCTCTTCCGTTTCTTTGAGAAGCTGGGTGACCCATCCAGGGCTATATGCCACTTGTTCATATGACTGGGAAACCAGTTTCTCAGATTTAAGGGCCAGAGTAGAACCCAGAATGATGGGGAGCTGCTCACTGCTGCCACCTGCTGTCAGCAAGGGTCACTGCAGGTGCTGCCTGCTCCCAGGTTCCTGGGGCTCCCTCAGGATGGCAGGGCCAGGTCAGCACCACCCTCTTTGGGACCCTCCTGTGCCTGCACTGGCACACCCTCCCCCCCACAAAACCTCACCGCTCCATTGCTCTGGAGTTTGTGTTTCCAAATGTAGCTATCTGGCTATTGTTGTTCTGTTAGGGTAGCCATGAAAATGGAAAATAAAAACACATAAACATACATTATTTCCTCTCATAAGTGGTATAATGAGCAATATTAGCAAACTGCTATAATCTCATGGTTTCGTGGTCATCACTCATGTGTGTGTGTCTGTGTGTATGTGTGTGTGTGTGTGTGTGTGTGTGAAGGGAGATGACTTATTTTTAAAAGCATTTTAAATCATCATCTCATATTAACACAACAACTCTTTAAAGATTCAGTGTTATTTGACTTTACTTCTCTTATATTGTTAGAGTGGGAAATCACCTAATATAGTCCATTCAAATTTTTCAGTCACCTTATTATGATATCTATTTTTCCAAAGAAAAAAATATAAGTTTAGGCCAATTTTGAATCACAATATCTCCAGAAAGCATGAACTTTCCCATTTGCCTTGCTTTTTCCAAAAGAGAGAGATCTCAATTTGAACAAATATTTGCAAACCCATGTTCACAGCATTATTAGTCACAGAGGCTAAAGATGGAAACAACATAAATACCCATTGATCTATATGGTGGCCTATACATACAGTGAAATATTGTCAGCCTTATAAAATTAGGAAATCATGTCACAGGCTACAACATAGATGAGCCTTGAGGACATTATACTCAGTGAAATAAGCCAGTCACAAAAGAACTGATACTATATGCTTCCACTTATATGAGGCACCAGAGCAGTCAGACTTATAGGGATACAAAGTACATGGTGGTTGCCAGGGGCTGGGGGAGTGGGAATAGAAAGTCTGTGTTTAATAGGGATGGTTTCAGTTTGCAAGATGAAAAGAGTTCTGGAAATGGATGGAGGTGATTGGTAGCACAACAACATGAATGTACATGATACCTCTGAACCATGCACTTAAAAATGGTAAATTTTATGTTATGTTTATTTTACCACAAGTTTTAAAAAAAATAATGGGCCCTAACCGGTTTGGCTCAGTGGATAGAGCGTCAGCCTGCAGACTGAAGGGTCCCAGGTTCGATTCCAGTCAAGGGCATGTACCTTGGTTGCCGGCACATCCCCAGTAGGAGGTGTGCAGGAGGTAACTGATCGATGTTTCTCTCTCATCGATGTTTCTAACTCTCTATCCCTCTCCCTTCCTCTCTGTAAAAAATCAATAAAATATATTTGTTAAAAAATAAAAAGATAATGAGACATAAGCATGGGTCCATTTGGCCTGTGTGAAGGACTTCACTAGGGAAGCAATAAAAGGCGAGTTTGACAGTGTGGACTGGGACCAGATGTCCAAGGCCTTGGATGACAGAACAGACTGCCAGTCCCAGGTTGGACTGTAGGTGACAAGCACAGTTAGGCGCTTTTCCCTAGTGAGGAGAGTTAACCAGCACCAGGACTGCGTGTGAGGTCTGTGCAAAGGCCAGTGAGGCCAGGGGCTCAGGTGTGGCCATGAGGTCTGGATGGGAAGGGGTGAAGCTGGGAGGAGTGCAGGCAGGGAGGCTGGGAGGCACCGAGGGGGTGAGGAGATCTAAGTGAGTGGCAACAGTGAAGTCGAGTGGACCGAGAGCTCTTGGCCTTTTGGGGACATTGGCATTTGAGGATGGTGCCCATGGTGCAGTGCTGTTGGGAGAGGCTGACATGGCCCAGAGTAGGCCCTTGCCTTCCCAGGGGGCCTTGTGTACATAATCACAAGGGATGGAGCAGGTATCGGGCTTTTTCTCAGGTGCTGACAAGAGCCGCAAAGCTCACAGGTGGAATGTCTCCATCAGAGAGATGCAGATGGTGACAGTGTCAGCCCTGTCAGGGTGAGCCAGAGAAGGGGACACACCACTGACTGGACAGTGTCCCCAGCACTTGGCCAGGACTGGTCCTTACCGTCCAGCCTCCAGAGTGGGTTGTGGAGGTGGCTCTGGGGCCCTCGGAGATGATGGCCGCTAAAGGGCTGAGAAACCAGGAGGGTCACCTCCCCACTCCCATGCCCCCAGTCCCTGGCAGCCACCCTGACACCTTCTGTCTCAGTGAACTTGACTCTTCCAGGTGCTGCATATCTGAGTTAGGAAATAAAAGGAGTTCCCTGAAACTCTCTGGGTTCCATTCTATCTCTTAGAAGCTCAGCTTCTCTCGATGACTCAGAATATGGACCTATTTGTTGCTGTGAGGGTTGAAAGAAAGCAGCCTGTGTCTCCAAGTCTCTCTGGTCAGGAACTCCCTGAACAGGGCAACTTCTGAGCAGAGAGGAGCCGCTGGGCTGCATCGGAGGGAGCGAGCAGTGCTGTGACATTCGCTGTGTGACCGTGACCCATGAGGGTAGGCAGAGGTCATAAGACACTTACTCTCTGTGACGACGGGGAGAGCATCCAACCACATCAGATGGTCTTCCAGAAATGATGGGACATGAGGTGGGTGAGGAAACGAGGAAAACCAAGAGCACCCTTCATGGCCATAGTGGGCAACAGAAGAGGGTGGCTGTAGACTTCAGCTAGAGAGCACGGTTCTGGGCAAGGGTGTGGGAAGCAAGAGGGTCTTTGAGGGAGACTTGGGGGTCTGGTCCCATGAAGGGAGGAACCATGAGGAGGCCTGGCTGGCGCCGAGTTCCAGGAGGTCCTCACATGGCACCCAGGGAGGGCCACTCTCTGCTTAGACTGTCAACCTGCCCAGCAGCCTCACTGCTCCTCCTCGGCCTAGTGAGGGTCTATTCTTCCTGCCAGCTGCTCCAGGCCTCGGTGGAATGTCTTTACCCCAGCCGCCCGAGGCAGAGAGCACCGCTCCTCCGTTTGTTCTGTGGATACAGACCCTACAGACACTCAGTGGTGAGTGGAAGGGAGGCCAGGCTCTGGGCTCTCTTCTGCAGGGACACAGCCTGCCCAGCCAGCAGACCCCACAGCCCAGAGCAGGCCAGAACCACATGGGAGGGACCAGAAGGCGCTGAGACTCATGGGCCAACTCCATCTCCCAAACTCATGGATGAGTGAGGTCTGTCCTCTCATGGAAAGGGGTGAATGAAGGAGAGGAGAGGAGAGGAGCAACAGGGAGGGAGGGAAGGAAGGAGGAGGAGCACCTTGAAATCCCGCTTAGTCAGGAGCACTCTTGTGGGAATATGAGTGCAGGGCTGAGTGAGGCCCAGGTGGAGTGTCTTCTGCTGCATTATAGTTGCTGTCTCACTTTTTATCTGAATGTAAGCTTTTCCCAGCAGCACCGTTGTCTTCCTCACCTTGGTCTCAGGCATTTCATGGAGAATTGGCACCTGGTAATGCTCAGTAGGGGTTTGAGCAGCAGAACGGAAAAGGGAAACCTCTTTCCAGAACTTAGGGTTGGAGACGCCTGCATCTCACATTCTCTGACTGCTTGGCTGTGGGCCTGGGGTGCTCTGCTGCCTCCTGAGGCCACAGCCAAAACGTGGTTGACAAGAGGTTCCGGTTTCCCAGGGAGTCTCATGGCCTCTGGCCAGGCCTATTTCTGACTGAGCTCCATGTGGCCTGGACCCTGGTTGTCTTGTCCAGCCTGCAGGTCAGGGCCTAGTGGCTGGTCTACATCAGAAGGAACTGGAGTGTCTTATGCCTGCCATCTGCTCAGGGCCTGGCACCGTCATCTTAGCTTCCCCAATCACTCCTACGCCGAGTTCAAGGCACCAACATGTCATTTCTTCTTCACTGAGGACTCATCTGCTTTGTCTGTCTGCTCCAGCCTGCAGGTCAGGGCCTAGTGGCTGGTCTACATCAGAAGGAACTGGAGTGTCTTATGCCTGCCATCTGCTCAGGGCCTGGCACCGTCATCTTAGCTTCCCCAATCACTCCTACGCCGAGTTCAAGGCACCAACATGTCATTTCTTCTTCACTGAGGACTCGTCTGCTTCTTCACTGGTGGTTG